CCGGCGGGTGAAGCCCTCGCCGGTGGACGGCGGCGGCGGGGCCCTTGTCCGTGAGCTCGCGCGCTGCTGTTTGTGCGCTGGAGCGGTGGGAACGCGCGGTGGCGACGCAGGCGGTCGTCTGCGCTCCGGGGAGGCCGTGATGGTGTGGAACGCGTGCGCAGTGGCGCTGCTGTGGCGGTGGCCGGCCGCTGCTGCGAGCGGCAGAGATGAGGGCGCCCAGGTCTGGGCTGCGCGTTTCTGCCCCCACCCACCCGTCCCCCTCCTTCCACCCCTCCCGGCCGCCGCCGGTGGTAGCCGCTGGGCGGGTGAGCACGCGCCCGGCGGTCCTTGACGGCTGCTGCTCTGCTGTGCCCCGGCGGTTCCTGGCGGCGGATGCTGCGGGCCGGCGTGGCGGCGGCGCGGTGCAGGTGGCTGTTGTCGCCTGCTCGTCGCGCTCCCGGCGGTGGCCGGCCTGCTGGCGCTGCGCCGGTCGGTGCTCCTCCTGCGACTACAACGTTCCTAGGCATCCCTCCATGTGTGCTGGTCTTCTCCGACGTTCTTCTCCATGCCCGGTCTGCCATTGCATCTGAGGTCCTTGTTCATGGGTCGGGGCGAAATCCCCGCGCGGCGACAGCCTGCGCTGTCAACGGCGACGCCCGAGGGTGCCGTCACCTCCTTGGAGGCGTTGGCATGACCCTGACCAGATCTCCTCCTCGAGCACCGGGAGAAATCCCAGGTCCGGCCTCCCGGACCGAGCAGCGGCGGCGTCTCAGCGCCGTTCCCCTCTTGTAGGCGCTGCTTTGGCTGCAAGTAGTGTTTGATGCGGCAGATGGAGGCTGGTGATGCATTGCTCTGGCGTAGACTGCTACACAGGGAGCGGATCGCAATGTATGCCAGCGCCCGCGCTTCTCCAAAGATTGCTACACCAGTTCCTGTTGATCCCTGCCCTTCACCCGCCGACTAGGCACATGGGTGAGAGGTACGTTGGCCTGGGCAGTCCTGGAGCTGTCTGGCAATGGCAGTGACGCCGCCCTGCTGGGCGAGGCCTAATGTCGTTGCGTGTCTGTAGTTGAGGGCACCTCCTCACCTAGTTGTAGTCGCTTGGTGAGGACGGTCGTGTATATGTGTGTGTGTGTGTGTGTGTGTGTGTGTGTGTGTGTGTGTGTCCCTCCTTTCTGGAGGTTGTACCCCTGATGTCTTCCTGTTCAATGAAATGAAACGCAAAGTCTCTTGCATTTTCTCGGAAAAAAAAAGAAAAAAATGAATGACAAGGGTGATAATAAAGGTCCTAACAAGATTCTAACAGAAGGTCTTCTACAGTTATAGGAACTCGTAGCAGAGTTAAGACTTAGCTGACACTTGTTTAATGATTTCTTACCTGATTACTTCAGAAGATGAGTCTTCAGACTCCAAAGAGTCCTGGGAGCTGTGGTCACCATCCACAGCCCAACTGCTAAACCATGTCATGGCATGGAACTCTTCCTCCGCAATCCCTAGTCCAGAGAGGAAAGCTTTATCTGCAATCACAAAAAAAAAAATGATTCTCTTCAAAGCAATTCAAACAGCTTTAATATACCTTCCAAAGTATTGAGTATAACAGACTTTGTTAGTATTATGCATGCAACTAAGCGGTAAGTGGCATGATATATCCCAAACAGAATTTGCTGCAAGGCTTGGCAAGCTGTAATTACTTGCATAATGCTTCCATTGGCAAAGATGGTGGCAGCAGGTGGCTAAAGCAAGGCCCCGGAGATGATGCTTGTCGTGGCCTTTCTCTTCTGTACGATTGTGTAGTTCATGAAGACAGCACATTATGGTCATATCTGTGGAGGAAATAAAAGGTTTCTCAGAAACATTCTGCTAGCCTCACACACTTCTGTATCAGTACACCTATACATGAAACATTGCATTGTTTACAAATGCAGGAATCACCTGTTGCAGGCCCACATAGATGTTTTCCGATTGCTAGATACTGACTTCCACTCAACGCTTTTACTCCACGCAAGCTCAAATCCTCAACTGCATTCATATCGGAGTAGAAAACATTAGTGTATGGCAATTTTGGTTTGCAAATGCATAACTTCAGCACACAAAGACATGAGCAAATGCACAGGTAAAATACTCAGCACCCAAAGGCGCTCGCAAGCTACCCAAATGCCCCTGTGAACTGTGCAATAAAGAAAGAAAAGAAATCTTACTATCTATCCTCAAACGCTCCAATTTAACACCCTCATTTTGCCTTAAACTTCGATCAGCCTACAAATTAGAGAGAAAAGAAAGAACATGACAACAACAGTTAACGAGGAAGTGACAGAACTAATCCTGAATTGCTTCAAAAAAAAAGGAATAATCCTGGTGAACTAGTTTGACTGCCAGAATTTTTTTGTTTGTTTCGTGAACATCATATTTGCTATATCTAGCAGCATGCCAGAATGCTTCAAAATTTACTTCAAGCAATCTGAGACGGTCTTATATTTAGAAAGGATAGTACTTCAAAAGATAATCATAATCACTATAAACAACCTATTTGATTACATACATTACTAGTTTGTTACACAAGTCGAGGTGTTTTAGCTTTTCATGCCTGATTGAGTTAATGATTATTGCTATTGTAAACACTGACAATTCATTGAATTTAGAGAGAGGTTACAGTACAACTATGGCACAAAAGACCAGCCATTACATTCAAGTTTGAGTGCCTTAAAATTAACAATGGCAAATCCGCTAGATATTGAATCTTGAGGAGCTAACTAGGCAGAAAAATAAGCTCTTGCAAAGTTCAACACGAAAATTAAGTTGGATTCAGCAAAAATGGGGTAACTAACAGGGATCATCAATGAACATAATGTAAAGTTGTAAGCTAATCCCCAAAATGAGGTTGTTTGTGCACATAAGCTGACCTTGAGCTTGTACGATCGTCTCTCGACCAAGAAGATATTCTTGATCCCATAACAGTCTGCCAACATCTGAGTCAAGTAACCCCTCCCAGCACCAAATTCAACAACTGCCGGAGCATTCTTCAACGCGATCTCCTTCGTTGCATCCTCAGCACCACCTCTCGGCAGCAAACCAAATGTCTCCATGTTCCCCATGATCGACACCTGCTGCACAACGTGCTTCTCCTGATACGGCACATTCCTATCCAAAGCACCAACATAAATCACTCCTGAAGTCTCACAGGAACCAATGCACTACAAAATTATCGCAACCCCCTCAAACTGCCATTGCCAAAGCACCCACCTATCAACTTGTCCCTTCATCCACTTATCACAGGCGTCCAGGGCAATGTAAGACTCGCGCATTTGGACGGCCGCCGCCGCGTGCGCCGACCGGATCTTCGCAACCAAGGCCCAGAATTCCTCCTCGGAGAGCTTGTGCACGGAGGCGCGCTTGGCGGCGGAGGTGACCGCGGCGACACCGGCCATTCCCCCGCCAGAGTTGATGCCCTTGGAGTAGTACGGCTGCGCGGCCAGCGCGTCGGCATGCTTCCTGAAGGGGCACTTGCCGATGTGAGCCTCCAGGTTCCCCTCGAACACCGTGCTGCGCAGGGGGAAGTGAAATCATCGAGTAAGAGGACAGCGGTGGCGCCGGACCTACCTGGGAGTGGCGCAGGGGGCTTACTGGGAGGGGTCGACGGGACAGGGGACGCGGCGGCGCGAGTCAGAGGAGGACTCCGGCGAGTGGTTCCCGC